CATGTACACTCCAAAAATCAATGAAAGTAAAATGAGCACACTCATACCACGAGAAAACGGAGAAATATTTAAGGTTTGAACCGGGGAAGAAAGATTTGAAGATTAGAAAAAGATTGAAGATTGTTCCATTGTTCTCGTGGTACGAGTGCACTCACTTTACTTTCATCCATATTAGGTATCTTGTCTCCACGCCGACTTGTTATACTCCAAATGTCAACAAATATACGAATCCTGGAAGAGAAAAAGGGTGGTGCGGCTTAGACCCCCGGTGCAGACAGCACACACCGGAAAATTACGGTATACCGTGGAAAGCACTACTTGCATGCGTAGGAACACCACCACATTCAAGAACCAAGGTGCAGATGCACCTCCTGAAGTTAGTAGTAGTGGGACGCGAGTACAGATCAGACCCAGCACCAAGCGGTCAAAGACCGAATATACCAGCACTCTGACAAAATTTACTTGAAGTTTTAACAAAAAATATATTAATAGGAAAAGCAAGTTTGCCAGAGGTTCGCAAGCCTTCCAGGTAAAAACTCCATGTGATATAAAACTTTTCAATATGAATAACGGGGAAGCAACAACAAAATAATTCTTGCTAGCGGCATGACAAACTCACATACATGTATCAGAATTTTTTCGGTTTTTGGTAAGTTTCCTGCAATCGTACAGCGTAGCTGTATGAAGGACGGAATTCCTTGACCGCCTACCTACATGTATATCGACGCTACTACGTCTACACCATGAGAACTTTGTTAACATGTCCGTCACTGAAAATGGACTTTAGGAGTCAGTATACAGTCCCACGGAAGCGGAACGGTGGTTCTTGACCAGGGAGTTGTACGACTCCTTGTTCTTGACCTGCCCGGTACGAGAACCCGTCGAATTTTTTATTTTATTTTTATACAGTACAATGACTTGGCACTCCGCCTGCAAGTGTTTCATCACATATTTCCTGTGCAATTGAAAAAAAAGAGAGAGCTCAAAACTGCGTACTGCGTACCTATATACTGTCCTCACCGCGGATCAACCAGCTCAGGTACACCAGCAGGTCGGGGTTGGCGTGAGCATAACTAGCAAATCCGCTCGCCGTCACGTCCTCACTCTGCGACATCCTGTACAGGAAGCTTGCTGCGCGCGTCTCCGTGACTACGTCATCGTAGCCGCGATCTCGCAGGCACGCCAGCATGCTCACGGCGCTGATCTGTGCCTGGCCGGCGGAGAGAGCGTCGAATGCCAGCGCTACGAGCTCGTCAGGCTCGGGTACCGTCATGGCCAGGTCGAACGTGCCGACGACGTACTCGCGATAGCGCAGCCCACGTCGTTGTAGGCTGTCGTCGCTGCCGCCAGAATGTGCGCTTGTGTCGCTAGAATGTGCGCTTGTATCATCAGAACATGGGCTTGTGTCGTATTCTGCGAACAGGCGTTCAGTGTGCTCCACGACGGGCCACTGCAGATGGTCACTGAACTCCTGCCGGCTGACGCGTCCCGACTTGCTGGCGTTGATGCTCACGAAGCGCTCCAGCACGGCCTGCAGCTCGGGCAGACGGACGTTGAACGTGCGGCTGACGAGATTGTACTCGACGAGCGCCGCGTCCACCGGCAGACCAGCCTCGACGGCCTGCCAGAGTAGACGCAGGTCTTCCAACGTGTGCTCGGTGGTGGGTAGTCCCAGCGCCTCGGCCACCTTTCTCTTCACGTTCAGCGAGTACAGAACGGGATCGGCTTTCTCCTCGTCAGACGGCACGTAGACGGGAAGATACTCGACTATTACGTGGTTATGCCACGTGGACATAGTCAGCAGCAGCGTTTCCAGGGCGTTGCGGCCGAAGTTGGTCCAGACGCCCAACTCGGGCAAGCGGTAACGCAGCAGGACCGGCTGAACGGGCACGCCGGGGACAAACGCGCCGGTCTTGTAGCCGATGACCTGCCGGCCGTTGGCGGTCGTGCCCTCCGGGTACACCATGATGTGCGACCAGCGCCCCGGCGAGCGTATCCGATCCTTCAGTGCCTGCACCGTGCCCATGCTGGTGCTGCGGTCCACCAGGATGGGCTCGGCCGCGCGGAAGATGCTGCCCACGAACGGCATGTGGATGTTCTCCTTGCGCGACAGCGGCGCGCCGATGTAGGCGGCGATGGCGAACAGTGTCTCCAGCAGGTGCGTGTGCGGCGTGATGACGTTGATCGGCGCGTCGGCCACGCTGGCGCGCCGCCCGCGCACCGCCATGCTATAGTAGCCGAAACCCAGGAACAGCCAGGCGCGCGCCACCGCCGGCATCACCTTCGTGTTGAGCTTCTGCTGCCAGGGCTGCAAGTGCTGGCCTGGCTTCCAGCCGGCGCTGATCGCCTTCACCAGCACCAGCACCAGTGGAATGAAGACGAAGGAGACGACCAGGCGAAGCGGCACGAGCAGTACTAAGCCCAACGTCAGCTTGACGCGCATCCATGGCGTGAACGAGATGGGGTTCGTGAAAGGATTCGCGCCCGTCGCCTCATCCAAACGGCGTACTTTCCCCATTCTTGCTGTCCAGGCAGTTTCGAATTGTTACGGCGAGTTTCGCTAGCAGCTGAGCGGTATTCGATCCCAGTAGTGGACCGGCGTACGGGTTCTGATCGCGTAGAAGCCAGTGAGCTACATGAACTAGAGTACTTGTTACTTGCACTTGTGTAAAATAAAATACAATCCTGTACTTCGAGAGAAATTCCACTCGAGCTCATTCAACTAACTGTATTGTAAAAGTAACTGAACAAAAACAAATTTTACCTCGGTGAAGATGATTATTTTTGTGCATCATATCCACGCCATGTAGATCTAGTACTACTAGTACTACTAGTACTACATGTTGTAGACTTGTACTAGTACTGGCTTATGTAAGTACAGTGGATATCGGTTATAAAGTCATCGGATATAGTGATAAACCGGCTACAGTGTATTATTGATACAAAATGAAGATATCAAAAGCAAAAACCAGAAAAAGCCAGTCAAATTATCATTATAATACTCATAAAAAGGACACACTTCAGGCTCATTACAAACATCTTGAAAGTTTTTTGTCTTCACAAGTATACTTTCAAGCCTTCTCATCAGGTGAAATACAGGCAAGGGAAAAGGAACAGGAACAGTGGATTAAATACAGTAAGAAGGTGGTAAAACAGCGCAAAAAGAAAGAAAGAAAGAAAGAAGATAGCTAAAGTAAACAGCGAAAATTGCAATAATGACACAAAGGTGCAAATGCGAGAAAACTCAATAAGCGCGACATGTAGTGCGACAACAAGAGACAACCACTGGACATACATATAACTAACGAGGTTTTGACGACCTACCTAACAGCCTAAGTGTGAATTTGATTTGTTTCAAGATGTTTGTAATGAGCCTGAAGTGTGTCCTTTTTATGAGTATTATCGCATTTTTGTCTCAGAGGAAACTGTTTACAAATTATCATTATAACCAATATATCGGATATAGCGATAAATCGGCTATAAGGATACAGAATCACCATTCAAATCACCTCTTTGTGCAGAAAAATTATCGTCTATAGTGATAGCAACACACGAGTGTGAGGTATTGATGTCTCGACTTGGAGCCACATGTGCGTTTTCATAGTGTATTCTGGTCTGATGCTTCCTGGATGATGCCTTTGGCAGTTTGGGCCAAGAAGTTCTTCACTCTAGGCTGGGGAAGGTGCAGCAGCATGCACCATGTATCAGTACGCTACATTAGCGCGATCGAGTACCCACACGTGTATAATGTGTATGTATGACGAGCGCAGTTGAAAATCGCCTGTAGTGATATACCGGTTATAGTGATAAATGTGAAAAATCAGAAGGGCACGTTATAACCAATATCTACTGTAATAGTTATGACCAAGAGTACTCTTGTTATGACGAATAGGTACTGATCTGAGTACTATGGGGCTGTTAAAAGTGATGACGTCACAGTTCCTTCGATACGCATAGCAACGATCCCACTGGGGACAAACAAAAGTAGCGTCGTCTCCACCGAACCAGTTGTCAGTGGCAACATATAGGAATCGTGTACATTTCTTCGTTTCTTCTTTGCTGTTTTCAGTGAGTGTTTTGTTTTCTCTTTGTCCTTGATCTCGACGGCGTTGTCGTGCTCATTACCTTACTGAGACGTCTCTTGTGACTGTAGCCAGTGTCACGGAGGATTTTATTGGCGTGACGAGGTAGATCGCCGAGATCGAGCGTGAAAAACGCTCTGCATTAGTAGCTCCTGTAGAATGTCTTCTGGGATGGCGTATCCATGGTCAACAAAGCCAAGGTGCAAGACAGCATAAGAGATCGTGTAAACGATGTGAACTCCAAAAGGTAAGCTCCTGAACAAGTGGAAAGATATGTGTATTTACAAACTCTCTCTACATCCATCAATTGCCGCTATGCATTGCACCCATCCCAATGTCATCACATGGCTGTGGTGACTAGTGTATACTTGGGAGAGTTTTTCCTCAACTGAGACGGAGTGTAGGTGGATGGATTATGATAAATGCGAAGATGTGGAGTAAGTTGTGTCGAAGAAATGTGTAGTAAAATAAAATTTACTTTACACTCAAACATACACTGTACATGTACCGCAAAATCCCGCCAGAGCGCCCCGTCTCTCCCATCCGCCCCTCCCTGACTTCTTGTCAGGGACGTGATTGATTGTATCCTCGTATGACTCTGTCGCAGTCTGTGATGCCGTACTGCACTGCAGACGCGTGCTCGACCCTGTTGGAAATTTACGCAATAGTGCCCACCCTCTTGACCAGGGATCGCACAAACCCTGCGTTTTGTCGGGTCTGTACGACTCCTGGCTCTTGACCTTTGGTCGGTGTACGAGATGCACGAACAGTTTTCGTAGGGTGAGTACTTTTTCATGTAGCACTGAATGCGGCAAGTAGGACTCGCCCATCCGCCCCTCCCCACCTGAAGCGTCGAGGAGGTAGGGGCGCTCTGGCGGGATTTTACGGTACATGTAACATCATGATCAGTAATGATTCCATCTTCATATCTCCGCAACAGGTACGCCATACGCACCGAATACATGGTGTGTGTGCACCCGCACGCGTACATGCACACACTCTCATGCGTGGCCGAGTTGGCCGGATGAACAGACCACGCATTTGCACGAGGTGTCCGTCATGTCATTGGAGTGCTTTACTTTATGACTTTATTCCAAAATAGTATATCTTGCCCCTGTCAAATGGAGTTTGTGTCTATGCTCAGCGGGTATCGGGCCATGACGCCACACTGCAGTCAGCGCTGGAATTAAAATAGCACTTCATGGATTATTTTAACTAATTTCCTTTGCGTTTACTTTGTTGAGCCCGTGGTTTCATTTCTGTGTTCTGTTATGGTTGGCCTCTGGAAATAATCGGAGTGGATGTCATTTTTGTCATATGTGTGTGCCTTGTGCAACAGGTTCAAGGCTAGATGCACTTCACATTCGGCGTGCGATCTCGGCGTCTGGGACCTGACAACGTCTTGGTTGGATGGGTAATCAAGGATGATACTACTCGGCACACCAATGTACATGTCAATGTAATTTTTACTTTTTCAGAGCTGCACTATTTACGTCTTGATGCTTACTTCGGTGCTAGCGTGTTTCCCAGGATTATTTCTATCATCATGCGTGTTCTTGGGCTGAGCGAGCACATGCACGAGTGTGCAGCTATAGCCCTGTGTATCTTTGGTGACACTTTGTTCTGCAATGCATGTACCTTGTAACAGTATGTGCTTGCACTGCTTTGTGTGGCCTGCGTATTTCAGGACTATTCAGTGCATTAGACCCAGGTTGGTTTGGTTGCCGGATGATCTCTTGTTGCAACGCTCTGTGTTTTGTATTCATCAATTTTTGGGCTTGAGAATTGAGCTTGTGTGTGGTTCCCAATATGAAAACATCATGCTGGTGCTCTGTGTTTCGATTATCGACTGTCCGAGCAGTCACGATTCATTACCAGAACGGTCAATACTGTAGTCTCTTCACGTGTTTGTCTTTTTGTGTTTCGCCGGGGGAATTAGCGGTGACGTTGCACATAGAACGGCAGTGTTGCATCACTGCACGACCCTGCCTCTGCATCTGACTTCATTTCCCCAGGATCTGGTGCAGATACACCAGACAGTCACTTCCTGTAAACACGCAAACAGCAAAAGAAGAGATCCTGCAAATCAGGAAAAACCATTGTGGAAAATATCGAGTAGATCATACACCATTCAATAATCTGGAGTAATTACAGTGAGACAAACACTTCAAACAGTGCTCTCTCTCTCTCTCTCTCTCTCTCTCTCTCTCTCTCTCTCTCTCTCTCTCTCTCTCTCTCTCTCTCTCTCTCTCTCTCTCTCTCTCTCTCTCTCTCCATCCTTCCAAAATACCCTGTAACAATTCCCTAGAATTATTTTATTATTTTTATATTCTCAGGACATCATTCTGAACAACTTCTTCCATGGGTCTACAATCACCACGGAGGGCGAGAATATATCTAAGTCATGCAGTTTACGGGAGATGCGGGCTGTCATGGATATAGAAGCTGATATTGTGCCAGCGTGAGGGCAGAGACAGAAAGAAGACACTGATTTCTTGAACAACTCACCTACATATAATCGAATCCATAGGGAGCGCTCGTACTTTGATCCATCAGGACGCGAAGAATCTTCAAAGCACTCTCAAACACGGAGTTTTACAGTGGGCAGCCAATTTCACAGCCATTATGAAGGCCCTCGACGACTACAGGAGATTTGTAGAGGAAAGAACAAGGAGTAAAGAGCGACCACAATCGCTTGAAGAAAAAGCAAACAAAAACTGCTCTCTCTCTCTCCAGTCATTTAGATGCTGTTGCCTTTGACAACTGGTTCCATCCAGAGGACGCTACTTTTGTTTGTCCCCAGTGCTCTCCGTTGCTATGCGTATCGAAGGGGCCGTGACGTCACACTTAACAGCCCCATTGTACTCTACCGGTATCATGTGGACGGACACCTTATAGATCTACCTACATTTGTACCTTTGGCTACCTACAGTCCATTCACTATGCAAGAGTACATAACCCAAGACTCAAGAGTGTGGTTATGTACTCTTGCTATAAGTGTGCACTGTTATTACATGCTCCCATCATACGACTATGTACAAATGCAAGGCAATTTTTTCTAAGTGAATGCACGCTTGCTTGCGGCCGGATCAAAATCTGTGTGAGAGAAAAAAATGGAAAATTGATTTTTTTTTAGCTCGCTTTGCTGGCTGATTTCCGTGCATTTGCATGCGCCGCTGCTTTGTCTTTGAAGTCATGCACCTTATTGATCATCTCAACGCATCCACGTGGGCTATTTCCCATGTCAGGCTGGCGCTGGCCTACATGTAGAATCCATGGGGCATACACAATGGCCCTTTGACTGGATGGAAAAGAGTGCACACTTTTATTGGCCCTTTGACTGGAAAAGAGTGCACACTTACATGTATAGTGAATGGACTGTACTGTAGAGCCTACACTACACTACAGTACTCAGTAGTACTAGTAGTCCTAGAGCCAGGTCCAGAAATCTGCCAGTGTCATTATTTTGACACCTCGTCCAGGAAAGATTTGACTTCAAATTCGGAGAGGCGGGCCAAGTATAGGAGAAAAGCAGAAAAGCAGAAGTTCCCAATGTTGTCCGTTTGGAAGTATGTAACAGTTATGAGCTATTTCCAAATTGCTTAGGTTAAAATGGTAACCTGTGTGCAATTGGCCGTTTCTGAGGCAAAGCCAGTGGAGAAC